GGCTTATTCTGTAGTTTAATCTGATTGTGTGCAGAAATACCAAGGATTGCAATTCGTAAAGGGAACCTTTTTTCATGACTGATAAATAGAGCCCAGGTAAAGGAGGGACACTCAGCGCACATTATTTTCCTCCTCAATCATATCGTTGATAATTACTTCAGCAAAGTGCCCACACATGGTTACATCCTGAAAGGTCACTCTGTGGGTGGTCACAGGGAAAAAATAAGGGTTCATTTTGATGTATGCAATATTAACTGTGAACTAAAATCAGGGTTCACTTGTCGTCTGTGTTAAGCACGAGACTACAATCACCTTGCTTGATCGAGGGCTTCAACGTTAAATGCTAATCACAAAAAGGTCATTAGTCACCATTTTAACTAGTGACTGACAATTTTAGATAAAAATATGGTTGAAACTAAAGCGGTGGATAATTTGTGATGTTACATGTTAAACATGGATACGAGGCGTAAAATCTCACAGGCAGGTATTTAAGCGAAGTTTGGTCGCTGTTCAGCAAACGGACGTTTTAAACCAACTTAGATTTGTTTCTAATCCGGCTGTTTCAGAACGTCGAGATTGTGAGCAATGTCACGAAGCCTTGTAATTCATATGGCAAAAAACATTTATTTTCTCAACAAAGCACCAATAGAAAAGTTACCAGGTCCGAAGATAGGCTAGAACAACAGCGTGGGAATTTGTAACAGGCCCGCAATGTTTTCGTTTCATTTTCTAGAACAATGTAGATGAAATAGTGTTTGGATAGTCGCAAAATGTCTTCGCTAAGAGAGGTTGTGGTAAAAGACGCCGGCTGTAGATTTTAATGTCAGTTTAAACATTTCCTAATAGGACTAAAATTCCAGTGAGGCTTGGAGTTCGTGATTATCGACAACAAAAACAAATTGGAGTAAACATATGCGCGTGTGAGTCGCCAAAAGTAATTTGGTCGTGACAAAGTTCAAAGGTCTCAAGAAGATAAAAGACGTACAATGAGTATAGGGGATATTTCAATGAAAATGCGATCTTGCTTTTCATCGTAGTGAAACGAACAATGAAAGTGATTTCACTTGATCTAAAAATCCAATTTCCTATGGCCAAAAGGTTATCAGCCGGCTTCCAAGAAATTAATTATTTTAAAAAAATACAAAAGAAAAGAACAAGAAAAAGCGTAAAAAGGGAAGGGAAACGCAAATTCTATACTACCGAACCATTTTTCTAGAGACAGCCTATCTTTATGCGAAGTACGCACGCGCAGATACTCTCTTGGAAAGCGTTGTTACAAGCATTGCACCACTAGGATGTTCAAGATTATAATCCATATATAAATTTTTTCAAAGTTTAACGGTTACTAAGACTTGTGTAAAAGCAATAGAAAAGACCTCCCTTAAATTACGGCGCGTTCCACTCAAATACATTTTCGTCGACTGATGTTTTGACACAAAAAGAGGATTTTGATAATCCGATTTCTATTTCCTTTAACTGGATAGTTAATTCATCCAAAACCGCCTTTTTCAGTGATATTTATGAACGCCAGGCAAAGCTCAAATCATGATAAAAAAAAGCAAGGTGCGCCTGTAGCATGGTTCTGCAACTTTATATGGTCAGATATCCAAAGCCATACAGTGAACGTTATTAACAGAAGAAGCCAGATAAAAGCTTTTTATAATTCGTGAGTCGATTAGTATCAAGCATCTACAAAGCCAATTACTTTAAGTTTTAATTACCCAAGGCGTTTCAATCTCCTCGTCTCGAAGGTCTATTTTTCTCCAGATTGGAGGTTAAAGCTTAGTATTGTCAAGATCAAATTTATATTTCATCAAAATGCGTTTAAGATTTTATTTTCGATTCTTCTTTGATCATAAGAAAGAGTTATTTTACAAGGAAGTAAAAAGGAAGTGATGAGATATAGCAACTGATGAAAACAGTTCGTGTGCGCTAATTTGGAAAGAATAATTACATTTCTTTGTTAGAGAGCATAATCCGATTACGATATCAAAGAACGACGCTATTTGAATGAAACAGGTATTTTTCAACAAAGAATACAGCAATTATTTTGATGTTGCCGGGAATTAAGAGAAGTGCATGCGCAACTAATCGGCGTTCAAGATCCTCTCGAGGTAAGCAAAAGATCCTTTAGTTGTCTCCTGGAATTACCAAATATCCTTTCATACATTCACTTACAATCAGCTTATTCCAACCACTCATGTCTCTACTAAATGTGTTGAATTTTTTAGGGGAATACGGGCAGTAATATTTAAATTTAACAACAGATGCAAATTTCCAATCTGAAATTCAAAATTCTATGCATTTACAGTTGAATTATACAAATGCTCCTCGAAAACCCAAGTCATGCTTGTTTCTGGAAAGCCTGACGTCTCGGATGATTTTGTGAACAACAACTTATTATTGTTCCCCATGTGAGTTTAAGTCTGAGAAGCATAAACAGGAACACTATGTGGTGTTGCATCAAACCCAGTGAAATTTAGCGTTTTCATGATAGCTTCTTGAGCTCTTAAAGATCGAAGCAAAAAAGGGTTTTATTTTGTTGTTTAAACACTGTAGGAATGTTTGAATTGTGCCGGTACATCTGATCTTATTTGGAGTAATGTTTACAACATAGATAAACAAATGTACTTTCTTGGAAAGATAATTCAAAAATTATAATTGCTAAAACTCATACTGTTTCCTAAAATAAGAGACGACTTACCAGCCGAAGAAGGTGTCAATGTTTCTCATCCTGGTAAATGATTTCAGTTATACTAAATTTTTCGGTGACCTCTTTCACCAAACGACGGGTTTTAATGAACAGAACAATGATTGTTCGCATGCACTATCAATTTTGGCAGATTTCGTTTGGCGTTCCCACCATACTCATCAAAACAACGTTGGAAATTTCCTGCCTATTTCAGAAGTTAAACCTCGACTGAGATGCTAGCATCGCAGTTCGAAATATTGAACGCTGTTCATAACAGTGTTACTAAATCAGAGGTGAATATCGATGAAGAATCATACAGGAATGGGGTGGTAACCCTTAGCATATAGAAGATGTTAGCATGCCACAGTTGTGAAAAAAATTTCCCAGAAAAATCATAGGCCATTAAATTTCAGGCTGAGGTTTTTACAAATAACATTCAAATCATTCTTGACATGTTACTAAAAGGGGTGGCTTTCTTGACCCAATCATGAATATTTAGTCACTTCATCCCTACAAAGTAAGTGAAGCCATTGATGGACATGGCGGCGCATAGTTGTTTGGTTGCCAAATTAATCATGATCCAAATTTGTAAAACAGGCAAAATGACTTGAGAGTTGGCAGGTATGCGCACATTCTAGATTCAACTGCCAACTACTGGCCAAGCGCAGAAGAAAAAAAAGCACTGTTTCCTATTTCATGCATGAGTATATGGCGCTAAAATCACGACGATGTAACAAATTGTCTATTCACCACAAGCTAAACGGGGCATTGGGGATAATCATTCGCTCTTTTCAAATAATCATCTCTAGCTCTTTCCAAAAATCATCAAAGGTTCATACAATGAAATGTTTTTCATCTGATAACCTTCGAACTTAAAACTTTAAAACTCACTTTGAAGTTATGAATAAACATTTACTTTCTAAGAATTGTATATGTAGCTTGATGTTTTGGCCTTAAATAAACAAAAGAGCAATTTTCGTAAAATTTTTGCGCCTAAAAAGGTAGTGTTTTTTGTCTTAATATATTAAGTTCGTGTACAGCTACAGGAAACGCATAAGGCAAAGAAGGAGAATTTGATCGTGGAAAATTATCATATTTCGTATAGGGTAGTCTGACAGTTAAGAACATTTTCTACACGAAATGTAGCGTGCCTCGAGCTCGCATGAAGCTCTCCTCGAATATAGTGAATCTCCTTAAACCAGAGCTATTTGTGAACGATTGAAGGTATGCAAGAAGAGAACTGCGATTAAGGTCTTTGTTTAGAAACATTACAAGACATTAAAGCTGGTAAGCGAAATATCACTGGGTTAGAAGGTACTCCTATTTGGGTACAAACCTCGCAAGCGCTTGAACTACTGCTCAGTGTTGAAAAGACTTCAAGATATGGCTTAGAGCATGGACCCTGAGCACTGGCTTTGAGCCTTGGTTTCTTTCGGGAAGTCAAATTGGTTTTCACTTCGCATGTCGGACGGTTGGGTAATCCTAGTTTTCATGCTGGCGACTCCAGCAATTTTGTTAGCTTTGTAAACCAGTCAGTATATAAACGTTTTACAAATAAACACTCGAAAACATTCAGCAAATAACAGAAAATAGGAGGATTGTTTTTTCATGCAAATACCTGTTACGCTTAGCTAAGTTCTCAAGTTTTATGTAAGAGTTACTTTCAAGGCCCTTGGCCTTTTTTGCTCGAAAAAATCCTAATGACGTCACCCAGTCAGACGCCATGTCCTTATAACGATTTAATTGACTGATAAACAGGAAATGACTCCACATTTACTTGGCGGGACCATCACGCTATTTGAAGCTTGATTTGCAAAGCTAACGGTGAAGGAGATCTATAAATAAAACCTAGTCAGTCAAAACAAAATAAAAGGGTGTTAAATGAGTCACGCATATAAAGATTGTGTAGAGAAAAAAAAGGAGCTGAAAATTACCCTGACAACCTGTGTGTTTACTAAATATTCAACTTTACTATGTAAGGCTTATTGGCAATAGCCATTGAGGCAAACTTTGTCAGGCATTAACTGTAACATGTGAGGTGGTCCATTCAGCTGCCTAATGGGAGAAATAGGTTTTCAAATAATATTCATGGGATTATAAAACATAAGGAACTGGTTCACCCAGCTCAAAAAGAAATTTTCTGCACTTAGATACAACTTCTCTTTCAACTTGACAACTTTTAATTTCATAACTTAGTTGTTCTTGCATTTCAAATTTCATAATAGGAATGTTAGCCAGCCAACAAGTCATTCTTACCATGACTAATTTTGGATGAGCATAGCTTTCCTTACATTCCCAGTTACCAGTCTTAACGATAAAAGCAGAGAGTATATTTTTGGGAAAAGCTTTCAAAAGAAATTAATGTTTTGCCATGATTATTGTAGGCTTAGAGCACGAAACGTAGGCATTTTTGCATGGAGGCATAACTCTCCTTTGCTGAAATTACCAAGCATGTTACTCTAATTAAGGAACACGGGATTCAATCCTCTTCTTAGTATACTAATAGAAAGGTTTAAAATCTTTGAAAGGTGAGGGGGAAGCCTTTGAAAATGCAATTATTAACTGCTTGCACAGTGAGAGCTAAGAAAACCAAGTTACTCCTAGGATCCAAGGACCCTTATGTGAGGTTATCTTCTAAAAATGTTCTGCCAAACTGCCAAGCTTGCCATGAACTAACAAAGAAATCTAAAAAGTGCCCTTCAATCAGCCCACGGTTGACAGCAGCCCAGAGCAGTTAATTTGGGGCCCATACACAGCACATTGTAACTCATTTCCAGAAATTAGCCTTAGATTAGAAGAACTCCATGTCATGGCTAACTTTGTTTGCTAAATGATCTTGTTTATTTGTTGCTTTTTTTTTTCAAGAAAGATACCTTTCCTCTACGAGGTTTAAAGCTTACCGCTGCAAAATCAAAATAATTATTGTAACCTAGCCCTCTTAGCCGTAAATTTCTATTTTATTTTCGTCGAAACATCACCGCTATGATAGGAACCTTCAAAGACAAATGATAATTGGTCCCAAACTTTTCGAATCTACACACTAATGATGTTTAAGGGAGATTGATTCTTTTAAAAGAGGCAGACACATTGCTACAAACTTGACTTTCCTGTGTTAATTCTGTGTTCATAACACATGACAGAATTGCGTCACAGCATCAATGAGCCATTTAACCCCTATGTCTTGTATTACATGTATTTTTTTACTATGTACATTCTGATTGGTGCAAGGAGGTTCATCAGTGTTGGAGTGCAAAGCACAAACACATAAAGAATGGCTGATCAACGTTCTTGAATTCCATATCGATATTTAATGAATGTGACCTGAAGGCTCCCATCTCAGAGAGATTCAAGGAAAACCAGCTATTTCGTCGCCGAATGGGCCGGGTAAGCCTTACAAAAAGTGGTTTAAAAATTGTACGTAAGCTGCAAGTGATATAAAGCTTTCGACTGAACACAATAGATTACATAATAACAATGTTTCATGATCATGATCAAGAGCAAATTGAAAGACAATGAGGTGCTAACAAACAAATGAAACTGCGAAGTAAAGCACTGTATGGACTTCCTTTGTCGGTAATACATGCTAAATTGGGGTTCAAATATTTAAGAAATAGAACTGACACTGGACTTACAAATTTTGATCGTTCGCTGTAGGGGTTATGATAGGGTTCTCTCACAGTCATGACGGTGACTCCGAGGAAAGCATCGATTAAAATGGATTTAGATTTGTAACAATAATTTTTGCGTGTGACTTGATGTCTGTACTATCTAAGGTGTCATCAGACCTCCTGCTAGTCATAATATGTGAAGGCGTCATCGTGTTCCAAATAGGAATCGTGGATATAACTTATTTGTCGGGGCTCTCATGCATTCCCGAACTACGAAACGTTTGGTGATTTTACGTTGTTCGTATCGCAGAGGACAGCTTGGAAATGTGCATGGTTGTAAAACACACGTGCAAGTCTATTCTTCTTCACTTTAGATCAGTTTTTTAGTTTACCTCGTTCTCGTCGCCATCCATCGTCCTCCTGGTCTGTGTATGGTTCCTAATAATGGCGATTGCGGATCAACAAATCGAAGTGATTCTCACGAGCCACAACGCTCGTCTTTTAGTTCGCTTTGAGGTCTCTACAGATGTTTTTGGTGATAAGGCAATATCAAACACTTTTCCGAATTGCCGGCTTGTTCTGACAACTGAGTGCATGATCTTGGCAATGATTTCTATGGAGTGCAATAGCAATTTACCATCCTCCTCTTCGAACTCAATTCGTCAATTCATAAAGATTTAACACGAAGGTTTGGTCTCATAATTTCATTGCTGAGAGCGTCCTCTTTTCCACGAGAAACGATCTCGCCGAATCATTCTTAGAATAGCCTTCTTGAACCTTCACATTTCGACAATTAAATGTACGGTGAAGCACTCGTTCTTCACACGAAGGCGAAAGAGTAGCTCATATGCAGGTTTTAATAGAGGGCTTTTGTCTCATCAATCAACCAGTCAAATCATCACGATTTCAGACATTCCGCTATTAGGGCTGGATAAGTGGCATGCTTTGTCGGAGGCTAACCCCCACTGACGAAGTCTTTGATTCAGGAGGCATAGTTCGAAAATAAAAATAACCCGAAAATAAAGGGGGAATGATGAGGAAGTTGTTACAAGTTGCGTAATAATAGGGACTGACATTCAGAAGCCCTACACGTACTATGGCCTGTTAGTGAGGACATCAGAAGTGAAGTGTGTATCAAGTTCAATATAGAAAGACATTCACTTCTGCGTGTTATCCATCCATTATAATTATTGCATAATATCGTGCTAACTATGTGAAGAAGTTTCTGACCTGTGCTCTTTGTGAATAACTAACAAGTTTGTCTTGAATTTCTTATTCAAGGGTATGTATAGTGCTTCAGTTTGCATTAAGATTCATCCACATTGAATCATTGTCCTTGCGTGCACTATTGAATCAATAATATCGAACTACATGTCAAGGTTATTGATCAAGCTGTGTGTAATTTCATTTCTTTCCATGTAGCTTAGGCCAGCATAATCGGGTAGGTATAATTGATAAAAAGTGATCCCAATTGCAACTTTACTTACCTTTATACTAAAGATGTCTATGTTGAAGGTTTTTCAGAATGTAATTTTGCCAGCAGGCAGATTGATTAGTGCCCAATTTCAGCACAAGCAAGGACTCAAGGTCTTTTCAAAGAACCTTAAACTCGCTGGAAAGTCTTCTTCATTAATTTATTCATTCATTCATTCGTTTGTTTCTTTAGTTGACAGAACCATCAAAAATCACGATGGACATAAAGTGATTTGTTTACTATTAATCTTTCTGTTACCACTCCTAGACACTCCAACGTTCAGGGGCTGCGCATATGATTAATTTCAATCTGTGACTATAACTAGCCAAATAATTCCACGAGGAGACATCCAGAAGTTTAAGAAAACATTTCAAGAACAGAACTCACGGAAATCATAGGAAAGACTGAAAAATCTGTAGTATTAGGTCGTTCGATCCACAGTGACTCGAGCTTTAGTTCCTGATCGCTCTTCCCAATCCAAGTAGACTCAATTATTACTGATAAAAACAAGACGAAAGCTATTTCGCCAACGATCTTCACTTTCATGAAGTCAGTTTGAAAATTTTCTCGATTATCAGAAGGTTTCTTAAGCCTGGAATACCCATTCCATCGCTCTGTTTTCAGTGGACGTAAGATGTAGAGACAATCACGTAAATTACCGACAGTTTTCGAGTCCAGTTTTAAAATTTATAGCTAAAACCTCCAAATAACTAATGACTTATCCTATGTAAATCTGTTGTAGAACATTATTGTTTTACACTGAAGAACACATCAATGGGAATCCATGAGGAGATGCTAGAGCTAAGGCCAACACCGCGTGATGATTCTAAATGCTTCTCCTCGATCTTCAGCTCAGATCATCAGTGGTTGCAGAAGTCGGTTATGTTGTTAAAATAATTCAGTTTTTGCGTATCAAGGATTGGATTTCAAAATTTATCCATCGCTACAATTCGACCTAATTTAATATCTTGAGCAAAGAAACTGTTCAAGTTAGGAAAGGGAAAACTTAAGACTTCGCCTGGCTTCACAGAGTCCATCATAAAAGCTTTAAGTTTACATCTAATATATGTCAATAGCTTGTTTTTTATTTCTGTAAAACCATAAACAAACCATTGTGTAATTACGAAGGGTAACAAGGCTACGAAAGGAACTTTTTGCGTTCGTAATGTACAAATTTAAAGGATTCTCGTCGCTTAATTGTTGTGCATGGGATGAAAAGAAAACGGTCGAATGAGGACTCTGCGCGAGGTAATTTCTCTCTTTTTCCATTTGCAGAAGTAAACATCCTTCCACTGCATCAAATAATGCAGTGAGAAAGAGAAATTTGTCACGACAGAACGAACGTAAGCCAAAGGGGTGCCCTCCGCCAAAAGGACATGGCTGCGAAGAGCAACGATGATTTGGCTGAACAGTGCAGAAACTCTCATTAACACACCTCGTGTAGAATATCTTCTATAAAACTTTTTTTTATATCAAGATGGCCAAAAAAAGCATTAATCGTTATAGTGAGAGAGTAAAATTGTTAATTACATGCCTCTTGTGTTGTTCCCTCGTCTTCTGTCTGTGTCCTAGTAATTCATGCAGGATGTCACCTGAAGAGAAGAACAAGGTTGAACAGCCAGTTTGGGATTATCGAGCCGGTTAAACTGTTTTGGAGGACCAAATGAGTCCCATAGACGCAAATTTATATACTTTATTCATAAACGCACGTGATCAATTGATTTTTCAAGCTGTAAAGGGTTAACTGGTTTAGAAAACAAGTAAGTTCAGTGCGTATTCCTGGCGTCGATATAAGAACACTTGTCGGAAATCTCTAAGGAGCTTAAGCGCATCGTAATCAATTGGGTCCTTGCTTTTTATAGTTAGAACATTTCCAGGCCTCTGAAATTAGTAACCAACAAATTCGAATCCATTCTGTGGAAGACAAAATTTGCCTAAACCTCTTTTGAGCAAATATTACAATCAAATCACAATTTCATTGTTGTGGAAAGACATCCTTAAAAAATACACCTTTCATCCATCATGCAGCCGAATTAGGATGGGTCTGTAATGAGAGCCCAAGAATTTTAAATGTCGAGAATGTAGCATAAAAAATAAAATGGAGGAGTATAATGCTTAATTAAACTTTGACAAAACACTTCATACTCACAAGGTTTTTTGATGACAAGGTGATTAGTATGGATTAAGTTAAAACAAAATGTTTGACAGTTCTTGCTCTGTGATACAAATTTATTGGCTAGAAAAGAAATTTTGGTGATTTGCAAAAATGATACAAAAGTTGCAAAGGAATGCAATTGTATGTCTCTTGGGTGGGCTAAGACAGACGACCTCAATAAAACTTCCTTTGGATTCACGATTAACACTGTATGCTCCCATAATTAACCAATTAATGAGGAAACGATCTTTAATTTAGAATTTGACCCAGCTTCGAAACACGAAATGAAACATCCCTAATGGCTGTAGTCCTAAAATAGATAGCATGATAAAGATAACGCACGTAAGGTCAAGCCGGGTCTACTATGTTATATCTTTCTTTTTCCAGAGATTATCGAAAGGTCTAGTTGAGTCCCCATTATAAGCCACTTCAGAGTAATTTTGGGATGGAATTTAAGTGTACCAAGTCGTTGTGCATGAGAAAACGAGCGTGGAGCAAATATCACCTGTCAAAAATATCTCATGCAGTTGACTTATCAGTTTTCCTTTCTCAACACTTATCTGCGTAGCGGTGAGTCTTGGAGGATGCACGAAGGGCACATAATGAGGCACAGCAGCTTCAATCAAAGTTGTCTCCGAAAAAGAAACCTTGCACATCTCCTGAAAGGCCTTAGGGGCGAAACCAGATTGTTCTGCAGAGTGATAGTATTCTGCACGCTCAGCCCTTTTTCGAGGAACGTGGGTAGGCACAAAAGCTTCAATCTACACTTTTTCAAGACCGAAGAATCTTGCCTATCCCTTGAAAGGTCAGAGGGACCAAAGTCAGATTGTTCTCTAATTAGCTGGAATCCTAAGCATGCTCATGAAACTTAAAGAGAATAGTCCCCAGGACTCTGCCACCTCCTGAGAATGGCTGCATCCCAAACGTTTTACGGAGAAATTTTCCTCAGCTCCGTTTAATCCATGTTTGCCAACGGGATATGAAGCTGGAAGGCATCAACCCAAACACTGCGGAATACACAGCAGATACTGACGACGTATGGAACGATTCAATGGTGGCGTTCAGCACTAGGAATGGCCAGCTTGATGACATTAGAGCCAGGAGGAAGCCTGGAACTGGTAAGTCAGGACATCTTTCTCTTTACCTTGGCTGACGATTTCAATTTCTGAATCTGAATTTCTGATCTGAAACTCGGAATTTCGCAGCGCGTCTGTACAGCCACTCCAGAAGGTGTTCCAAACACTGAACTAAGCAGCCCACAGCTCCGCTATCATAAACTGCTTAACATGGGTGGATACGTTGTTGCATGCATGGAATGAAAATTTAGGGCTAAAATAACTCGCCTTTAGTGTAATAGATTTATCAATTTTGATTGGATTTCCGCTGTGTTGGGTACATTGTCTACAAAAGATTTCTCACCAAATTGAATTAGAGTTGCATTTATCAAATGCTTTTTTTTTTTGCTCTTTTAGTACCCCGTTTGTAAGGCAACCTGCCAGCATTCCTTCAAAGGTGACCATAATTAACCGTGTTGAGTGGTTACCCCCTTTAAGCGGTCCGTTGTCAATGTTTTGAAATTGGTTCCCCTTATGACTGTAATCTTCCCCTCTAGTAAGCGGTCACTTCTATTTAGCAGTCGTGGACACCCTTAACTAAATACCAACGGCCTGTTTGTGTTGTTCTCCACTTGTATAGTGCGGTCACTTGAAGTGCGAATACTCAAATTGAATTAAGAATATCATGTACTTTCAAGTAAAATTCAATCCATCTTTCCAATGTGCCACAATTTCGATTAGGAAACCTACCATTTAGAATCCTACTTACTTGGCTTAACAAACCTTTTTCCTCTTTTCTTGATCTCTAGACGACCTGTTTCAACGACTAGGAGCTCCACATAGAGATATTTCAGACTTATATGCTTTTCCTTTTTTTGCAATATCAATAGCTATAGCAGTTCAGCGATAATGAGCTACACAAATAAACATTACAGACCCAAATTGTGATTTTCTTTCTGCAAAATCTCGAGAAACAGCTGTACTGACAATTACAAGCTAAACCAAAAGGCAACATCAACTTAAAAGCTGTTTTTTTTCTTTCTTTTTTGTGACAATTAATTAAAGTAGCAGCTGTTTTTAAATTAAGAGTTTATCATGGTTACGTAACCTATTTAGTAGGGTGTTGCATGTTACGTCGTTATAACTGCTTCATTAGCAAGCAAAGTTGGTATTTACACTGCGTTGCTTTCACTCATATTCATTCGTGTTATGCGAACGCCTCTGCGCCCTCAAAATTAAATACCCAATGAGTGAGGGCTATTAGTTTTTTCATATACATATTTACAAAGCGTATGCATAAGAGTCAGTGCGTTTATTATCTTATTAGTTGCTTGCTTGTTATATTTTGAGCCTTTCAGAGTTTCTGTAGTTTTGCCTGCAAGACATAATAAAGAGGGTCCCACAAGGCTCGTGTTGAAAGACCCCAGCTATGGTTGCTTATTACATAATAAATGTTTTATATTCATTTGATTGGGATAGCGAATTAGAACATAAACGTTGTGGTTTTGTGTATGCCATCAGGTTGTTTAGCTGCAACCTCGTTCCCAGGGCCTCTCTTCTCCCCTTCTTCCTCTCTCTCGAGATGAAGGGAAGTCAGGAGACATAAGGAACGAGGTTCAGTAAGTTGTTTCAAATAGCAGCATCTAAAGTCGATGTTTAGTTTATTTCAAGTCTTTTGACTCTTCAATCAAGGTAATTGGAAAATTCTCATCAAAGGTTTTTCAATAGTAGAGATAAAAATTATATGGTTTCTGACTCATACTTCTCATTCGAGAGCAACTTAGTTTCCCTGACCTTGTGACACTGATGCAATCTACCAAAGCACAGAACAAATGCATGCTTATTCCGAAGAGATCGAATATCGAAGAGAAGCCCCTCCAAAGTAAATGTTACCGTATGTTCCAGCCGACAGAAAAACACCGCAATCTTACAAACTCAACTACTTAATATACAGCGAGTAATGTTCTTAACAAGGAGCGGCTTCTAAAAGCAGCACAGTGCTTATCGTTAATGAACTTAATTAAGCCCACCACGTTCTATATCCTAGCTCATCACTGACACAATCTCACTGCTGTCTCCAAAGTTCCTTGAAATGAGTAATCTTCCGCAGTAACTCTCTCTCGGTATAGCTTTCGAAACAGTCGTCGCTCTGACAACAACCACTACTACTACTACATAAGTGAGTCTTTATATATCTTCACATAAGGAACATTCCAGACGCTTTCACAAGGACTATTTTAGTAGTATTACATAATAAATACGTGACTTGATGAAATGTTCTGGAAAGGTCTATGGTATGCATGTCAGCATGACTCAGCAGTCTGAAAATTTTCAGGGGGTCATATTTACAACAATTACTCATAGTATAAACCAAAAACATTTACTCGCTTGTTACCTGGTTTCAGAGAGGCACACTAGGAGTAAAGTATCCTGCTCGGGAGCGCAAAGGCTTCCCTTAGACAATCTGATTTTAACCCATTGCCTTAAGAGCCCTATCTCCACAATCCCCCCCCTCCTCCCTCCCCTTATTTCCGCCGCTGATAGCGATTGTGACCTCAGTGTTGTCAATATCATTTTCTAAGTGTTCGCGAATTCTATGATGTATAAAGTAAACAACGCTTTCTTGTCACAGGAACTTATTAGAAGAAATTTGTGAAATAAGTGCGAATGCGAATATGTTACATAGACTTGATGAAGAAAACTTCCCAGGACAGAATTTCCCTTTAGCCTACGTGTAACCGCACCCACTCCCCCGCCAAGGTGAAACGGAGACGAGGCAACGTCTACGCAAAACCTGAAACCAATCGTGTTCTGTGACAACACTCCTTTGTAAGAAAATATATAATGACTTTTGATTGGTTAATCCCTTTTGCCGATTCTTTCGTTAATTCTGATTGGCTAGAGTTGGTAATTTATTTTCATACTAACGAACAAGATGATGATGAACAAAATGCCTTCACGGCCAACTTTTCAGACAACAGCGATCTACGACCAGGTTTTACGGCAAGTTTGTGCGACTTCTGGGAAAGAGACATTTCAAGAAGAACAGTAGAAAGCCATAGATGTGTTTTTCGTAGGTAACGATGTCTCCGTTTCGTTACCAACTAGCTATGGAATATATCAACCAACGCCAGTGATCGATCACCTCTCTTCTCTAGAAGGAACCGGTCACTATATTTATGGTGCCGCCCGTTAAAGCTCTCACAGATGACCAGGTGCACTATTTTAATGTACTTGGACCAAGAGGATTGCCTGCCTTCAAATTGCGGTCTCTTTACGAACGGTGCTGCGAAGCTTTTAAATAGAGCTAGTTGTTTCTTGCAGCGATTCTTTCGACTGAGAAAAAATTCCTTCTTTGTTCACGCTTACAGCGTAACTATCTCTCAAAGAAATCTGTAAAAACCTCGAGATTCTCCGGCAAATGATCCAAATTTACAAATGCAAGCAGAAACCGCGTGGACTTCGCAAGCGCGATGCTAATCGAACATCATCCTCTTCTTACTCTATACCAAAAAGCTCCCATAATCTTTTCCTACATCCTCAAAGCAAAGTATACATTTGAACTCGAACGCTGAACTGCAAATTTACCCGAAAAATTGAAAATGAATTCACTTCAATGTTGTTGTTTCTCGATAACCTTCACGCTAACATGTGCCACTTCGCAAAAAAATATTATCGAGTGACATTATTTTGCATAAATTAGAGCGACGTCACGAAACACGAATAGTGTCAGATTTTCGTGGATGTTCCCACGTTTCCGTTTCACCTTGGAGGGGAGGGTACGGCTACACGTAGGCTTATTTCCCATCAGCCTTTTCACAATTTCTGTATGGGATGAGAAGACTTTAGAAGGTAATTTTTTTTTTCGGGCAAGTTTACTGAAGGACACTAGGCTTGACAAACCGGATACTTTAATTTCTACAAGGGCAAGATGCACCCTTAAAGGAAGATCATATATCCCCGCACTACATAGCCGGTTACTTTTAGATTCATATGCTTCTTTATTCTAGCATTATTCTGTCCTAGTAGAGACCTATAGATTCCAAGAGGAATAAGATTGCAAGTTTTAGCTTCGCCAATGGCACCATTGATAATGAGCGTGCGCAGATTTGCGTTGTTTTGGCGGGGAGAAAGCAATTTTATGGGATAAGCTTTGCGAGCATGGTGACATGGTAAAAATGCTAGCAGTTTCATAATTTAACAATCACGAGTAAGTCAATCCGATACCAAAAGCTGTACAAGCTGTTTGGTTCGTACAGTGGTTTTTCACCAACGACTTGAATTGAATCCAAAACTCGTTTTCGAACTCGTCTTGGAAACTAAAGGTATTTAACATAAGCAAATTACATGATAAACTTCGAAAAATTTCGATATCTCATCACCCTCTTCCTATACAATTCTACTCTATCTACAGACAATACGTCGCTAAAAACATTTGTAACAATCTAATAAATATTAGCCTACACTTATAGGAAGTCTTTGTTCCCGCGCTAGTTATATACAGAGAGAATTATTATTTCGTTACAATGCGAAGCGGTTGATTTCTCTCAGCTGCTCTTATGTTAGACATTGATATTTAAAACTAAGGCATTTTTAAGAGGTAAAGATAAAATATGGAGCATGCATGATAAGAGATATTATTATGCTAGAGGTGATTGGTTGAGAAAACTGGCAGAAATCAAAATTGTAAACATGGGTGTTGTCCTGCTCGTCGAACGAACAGAATATTTTTGGTCCGCGTTCACAAATTGTGAGAAAATAAATTAATGATGGTCGGATAGTTCAAAATAACTGGAATTTTTTTGAACAGTGCACACTGTTAGGTGCAAAAAATATATACATAAAACGCAACGCAAAAAGAAAGGCCGAGTTTTCTAACCAATCTTCCTTTCTAACTAGAGTGGCACTTGCATATCTGTAAACTTTCTCCGTCGCGTTAATTAAACGTATTTACATCTTTATCCTAAGCCAATAAAACTTGACTTAAACTTTGAACTACTTTTGGCTAAATAATATGAGTGTCTATTTTTCGTTAAGCTACACCAATATGGCGAACGTGACGGCTTGTGAATGCATTTAATCGCGGTAAGGGTTTTTCTAAGCCGATAACCCAGACCCTCCCGGTTGGGAGATTCAGAGCGTTCCAGGTCTAGGAAGTGAAGAGAAGAACAGCAACTTCGGGAAATGTTTCGAAGTAACTTTGCTCCTCTCCACCCTAGAGCCTCGGTGAAAATGACGCTTTTTGAACGTGGAATTTTCTTGATGATTCATGCATAAGATGAACCAAATGGTTATAACAACCAAAACACATGCGTCAGCTAAGTTTTTATAAACACTTTGCTACCCGGAAGAGATTAATATGTAAATTCTCTTTACAAAGTCGATACATTATCCGATAAACAAGTGATGAGAATGAGATAAAAGTTATCCTTTACAGATCTTATCATTGAATTTTCCCCTAAAATCTACAAAGAAATTTATGGCAGTCAGAAGGGGGGAAATTGGCATCAACCCGACCTTCATTTAGCAGGATGAAGTCCTGAGTTTTGAACATGGCAATGACGCTTTTTTATCCACAAAGTCAAAACTGTGTTTAATCTCAGGACTGTGCTTTTCGCTTGAGGTGCTGGAGTGCTGATAGCCTGGGTTGCTAGGCGACCTTGCTGTTGTCCCAGTGCGAGATTGACAGTTCGGATATTTGGCACCACTGCCACTCAAATCTCGTGGTTCTCTTCGGGGTCGAAGGCGCAAAACTTCGCGAAAGGCCTGCCGGAATGATCGATTAAGGGCGTTGTAGATGATTGGATTGTTGGCATGGTTACTGACCACAAGCAGAAAGGAGACCATATCCAGCCAATGAGGAATGTGGAAATCAGGGTCAATCATCTGCACAATGTTGACTATACTGGCAGGGATGTAGCACACTATGAACACTAATATCACGATGAACAACGTGGTAGCGATTTTAATGTCTTCTACATGAACGGATGGTTGGCTTCGGCGAAGGTTTCCCATTATGGCTCCATGAGTTTTGATAATTTTGTAGATTTTCAGGTAGCAAAACAGGATGACAGTAAAGGGTGCTATGACAACGAAAACGGCAAAGGTTACTGTATAGGATATACTGCGACTGAACAAGAAATGGCAGACGCATTTTCCAACTTGATACTCGTGCTCGGACCAGCCAAGGATAGGAGCAAGAGCCAACACAAAAGGTACCAGCCAAGTAAGAGCCAACATTCGCAGTGTGTTCGTGTTTGTGTAGATCCTGTTGTACTTTCCGCCTTCCACGATCTTGAAATATCGATTCACGCTGATTGCGCACAACGTAAGCAACGAAGTGGCACCAAGAAGTACGGTTAGGACTCCATTCAGTTTACAGATATACTTCCCGAAAATCCACTCTCCATGATTGATAATGGTCGACAACATGAATATCAAATTGGCTGAGCCAAAAATGTCGGCGATGGCGAGGTTTATGAGGAAATAACTACCTGTTGCGCGGTGCGAACGGCGTTGTTGTTGCCAAAGAACGATAATTACCAGGATGTTCCCAATCATTCCTAACAGAATAATAATAGCGACGACAGGTGCCAATAGACCGATTGCCAGAGTGGACCAATGGAAGTCGGGATCCACGGGTGACGGCATTATCTCACGAATCAAACGAGATCTAATCTGAAAAGAGCAGACAAATGATGGCATTAATCTCGATTCGTCTTGGATCAGAGCGAAGATAGTTCATCAGGGTGGTTTGTTGCGTTCTGGGTGGTTTTTCGGGAATTTTAGAAAGAAATGTGCGTCTTGTTACATTGACACATTTAGTAACACTAGATGCATTTCGCAATGGTTTAACGCTGAGGAATTTGTGAATTCACCTCTGAAATGATGTCACAATCATTTTCACAATTTTTTGTGAAAGCTTCTTCGTGGAATGTATCGCAAAATTGAATTTAGGTCGACATTTTCTTAATACTAAGACATCTGTGGGGTTATATCGCATTGTATGTAACATGATGCGTGTCCTGATGCACTTAGAATGCCATCTTCATACAACATCGGGTTTAAGGAGTACGCTCTCCTTACGAAAGAGCACATTTGGGAGATTTAAAACATTAAACTGGTCTCTCAGATAACCTTGCACTAGCTGGTGAAATCTTTGGACCATAAATTAAGCAAAAATAGAGTATCATCATAGCCAGCTCTGATGCGATGGAACTATAACAAAAATGTTCTGTAAATGGAAGCGAAATAAGGTGAACTACTAATAGAGAACTACGAAACGTCCTCGGCCTAGTGTAAAATCATTAAAAGTCAGCTGCTGTATTATGCGTTCACATTAACCTGAAAATAAAAGCACAAGTAATAAAAACACTTCTTTTCTTCGGGCCACGATCTCTTATGGACGAGTTTGGTACTGGTAATCTTCCTACAAACAAGCATCAGGGATGCTTCTAAAACAGTTTTTAACAAAATATCTGGACCATCAAAGTGTTAAATGTTTTAAAGCTAAATTGCTGATAGTCCCCGGCTGCAAAGCAGCTGCCGAACAGTCAGAATTCCAATAATGGTTCCGCAAGGAATTCACGAGCTGGAATCATCAGAACCAATCAGTGAATTCGACGTGCAACTTGCAATAGAACTACATTGAAAGTGCGCAATTCAAAATGGCAAAAAGAGATGAAAACAGCATGAAAGGATAAAAAGAAGAGTAGATTTGCTGAGGTATTTACGCGCCCTTTGAAATGAAAATAGAAGTGCTCTGCAGAAAACGTCAGTACCACTTACTTAAACTGATTAGAAATGCGTTACAATGAAGGCCAGGTGTTGTCGATCTTTGCAGAAGATTCGTGGATGGCGTATCAGCTTAACTTGGCTTCTTCCAATTCTTTAATTAGTATAAGAGACCAAATGGTTGATTTCTCGTCTAAAATATTCTTCTTCGAATTTCAAGTACGCTCATACAGCTATGTGGATGTAGCTAAGTGCTTTACATGCGATACCGTCTGAGGCACTTGCCCGGGCTTGGCGGCGATACTGCCGTTTCAAATGTCAGCTTATGTCATCTTTTTCGAGTGCCGACTTTAATTCCAACGTAAATATAGAATAACAGCGATGACACTCGATTTGAACACTCGTTGCGTCTGGCGCCTTCAAATAACTGTTATTGGAATCAAAAGGTTGATCGAAAAACCTCGCACGGATGAAAAGAAAGCTCGGCAACAAGAAGTAAATTCGTTCGTCCAAACGCTTTTTCAGAGGGCGCTTTTGTCATGAAAAGTTCGTAAATCGGAAATGCCTTTTGGTTCAACTTGACCAGACAATTGACTTCCTTCACCGTTTTCAATAAAGCCTACTAAGTACACGACTACGGATGTAGATAAAGTTTCCGACAAAAGAGTTGATAATCTACTTAAAATTATCGGAGTCTGAACATTGACAGAGAAAGACAAAGCTGGAATATTCTGGAGTCACTCGGTAGTCTCATTTACTGGTTTTAAACGTCGCGTACAAAGGCATCGGAAATTCGCTCTAAGATGCGAATCAAGCATTGTTTTCTTTCCGTTGCTTTGAAAAATGACGATGTTTTTCTAGCTCCTGTCTTTTCCTTCCTTTTAACGCCACATTCTTGCACCACAAAATACCGACCCAGTCCAGATGTACATCTTCGACACGTAGACATATTTTTTTCTTGTTTAATTAGCTAAAAAAAGTGAGCGATGTGTTAATGACAAGTCTTTATGTAAAGTACAATCCCCGACGTCTAAAAAACAATGATATTCCTCATCGGGGTAAAGTTTTAAAATAGGTATTTAAAATAGGTATACGAAACTGTCAAAGAAATCCCGCAAATAGAGTCGTGTTATATAACGATATCTCCTTTATAGCGAAACTCAAAATTCTTCAACTGGTTAAAATCTCTCTCTCTCTTAGGTCCAGTTGTGAGAAAGTGCATCTAAGCCAACCTATTGGCTCAACCAAGTCGACTCTATTTCAGACACAAACGGCTAAAAATTCGTACAGAACTTCTGACTTAAAATGGACGAAAATAATTTTCCATTTGCGCCATGCGAACCTAAAATGTTGAGCAAAATACCTTAAACTGCCCTCGGCGCGCCTTGCTCCTTCAGCAATGCTTTGGGAGGGGTAGGAGGGAAGGATCTTTTCATCCTTTCCACGCTGTCCCCTCCGATTGTTTTAGTACCTCGTTTTGTAGGATTTTCGCAGTACTTTCTACTTGGGTTAAATGTCAGAAAATAAACATTTGCTCCGTACAGATAACAATCAGACGCAAGATCCAACCACAGATTATCGAAATCCGCTTAAGTACGAAAATATTTCCACATGCAGGTCGAACGTCATAGCGGTTAATTCAATCAGCAAGGAAGGAAAGTTTGCTTAATTTAATGATAGGTGATGTCAGTGATAAAAAGCGTGTTGACTTGCCAAGAAAGTTGAGGTTTGTCTGATGAAAAGACACAGAAGATAAAAACCTGGCCCTAAATTATCCATTGGTTTATAATTGTCGAAAGCAGTTGTTTGAGCGTACTGAGAATCACGCAGGTGAGAATTTGTAAACCGATATATAGTGGGGTGACTTTGTCAAGAACGGTAACATTTTAAAAAACCGACATACTAAGGTGCAGGGTTGGATCTACACTCAAAGAGGTGCGCCAGCGGATAATACTAAACATGTCATCATCATCGGCTTAATTAGACAAGGTCAGGTCACACGACTGAAAATCTAAGACAATTTTTTTGTTGTTTCTGTCAAATTAGATTCATAGGTCGATGTTCGCCGTGTATGGTTCTGAGATGTTTCTTTGTTTAGTGTAATCATCTTTGAGTTCTTGGAAAGGGCTTCTTTTGAGCTCAAGACAAACAACCGTCCACTCTTAGAGAAGAATTTCGCCCAAAAATTAATTCTCTTTGCCCCACGCTCTTTTAAGGTCTCCAATGTTAATATTTTCTCATTGAATAGCTGAGCTAAAATGCTGGTTGTATACGGAGAAAAAATTAAAAGAGCGTCTTTACATGACGTGGAAACTGTGTTTGAGTTGTGTTTCCTCGTGGGTTTGCATACACATCGACAAATGATATTTGACAGCAAAAACAACGCACTGAAAAGAGCAAAAATAAACCTATATAACTTAAAGGATTACTCTAAGTTTAACAAAAAATTGAAATACCTCGACCTTTGGTAAAAAACGAAAACTTCACTAGCTTAAGTCTGGTAATAATGAATTATCGGCAGCCTTTGTCTCACGATGCAGTCAATATCAGGGCGGATTGCAACGTTTTAACTGCACAATGTCAGCCTTTTTCGGGCGCCTAAAGAAGACTACAGCACTAGCCCCAATTGTGAGACCAGCGATAATATACATATTTCATTAAAACGGTCTTCACTGCGACGTATAACCACAAACTTTTTTACAATGGCTTACGTTTGGCTGTGAAGTGAATGCTAATGAAAACCACAGATAAACAGCTAGCGTAAACTATTATCACTACGTGACGAAACGATTTCACACCAATATCGTGTTTTCCCTATGATTTCAGGAGCATAAAAATTAAATAAGTACCACTGTTAAGTACAAGAAAGGCTTACCGATTGTTTCCCAAAGTTTTTCCTTTTTCTTTCGATCCTAAGTTTCTCCAAATGAATGGAAGGTTTCCACTTCGTTCTCTAAACTTTTAACAGACGATCTAAAAAAAACCCTGCCTTAATTCGGTTCTTATATGCTGCCCTCTTGGTCAAATAAGAAGTCTTAATGGAATGGTATATCCCGCTATCAAATTCACATTCCGCAAAGGGCTTTAAAATGCTTAAAAGATAATCCCTTCCATATTTCGAAATAAAACTTATAAATAATATGGAGAAACCTTTCCGGTAACCGAAGAATCGGTTGTTTTGTTGTTATTTTCCAATAATATTTCAAAGAGCCTTTTGATGCTATCACGTAGTCTCCTGGGGAAAAACTAAGATCTCGCAAAATATTTAGTGATCTCATTAAAAGCTAAGTCCCGGAAACTAAACCGAAATATGTTAACTGGCCTAAAGAGACAACCCTCCCATATCAATAGACAGATTCTCCACACTAGTCGTTATACACTTACAGAGGTGTACTTTGTGAGAATTGAAAAAGGCATTTTTAACGATAAAATTTACTGCTCTTATCGGCTAAAGTGCTGAAGGCCATAGGATTAAGTTAGACCTGATTTAAAAGCCTTCTCTAAGTCTTGATGGAATCAGCTTTTTTAAAGACTTCAGATAAAACCATTGCGAAAGGTATCCAACGCCGACGTAATATTTTGCGGTACTTTTATCAGCCTTTATGTATACCTTTTCCTGAAAATTGTGACTGTATAAAATGCTCAGTGAGGTTGTTGTAGGGTGTAGGCAAATGAATGAAAACTTTACGCGCGTACATTCGTAAAAAAGCTTCTGACCAGCACCGTCATCATGATAATGTGGTGAGCTTTTTTGTCGCTGTCAGATGAAACCTGACTGTGCGGACATGATTAAAATGAAAACAACTTCAGGGGCGGTACTCTCACGTAGCACTGTACAACCTAAGGTAGTTTTTAAATTCAGTCTATGGTAGCTCTAAAATTTAGTCTGTGAATTATGAAAGTTTCTGAAAAATATTTTTATATGGTTCTATGTGTTGTGCTCAAAAGTTGATTCTGTGAATAAAACCCTAATGTTTGACGATTCGGGTGAAAGCTAGAGAGCAGAATTTTTTTTTTGATGCCGCTTATCATGCGGTAGAGGATACTTCTTACTTTTCATGTCATGAATGAAGTTAGCGTGTCTCCATTCAATTGAACAAGGGAGCAGTTTTGCTAAGTAGTGTTGTTTATTATACTGTACGTACAAGTTAGTTCCAAATTTTCAGTCCGTGGATGAAACCCTGGCCTGTGACCACTTAAATAAAACTTGAGCTATCGAGGAGTTCTTTCATGAAATACTGTCGTGTAGGACTGGTGAGGAAGAGGATCTTGTAAGGTCTAAACCTGAACGTTTTGCCATTGCAGCAGTGCTGTTTCTCAAACAAGGCAAGCGGAATTTAAACTATTCGTGATTTCCTTTTTTCCTTTGGGAATAAAGTGAATGCGTTAAATTTACTGCGAACTTTATCTGTCATCACAAAAGATGCACATTTGAAATCTCCACTTTCAAATTTTTTTCAAGCGCTTGAAATGTCATGGTACCTACGACTTCCTTTAAGTTTCTTGGCACGCTTTTTCCGGGACTTAAGGACTGACCTTGAAAGGTCGAGAACCGATTTCTCTTGGGGCTTGCGGTAAATATTTACGATTTGGCTCCACGAAGAGCAATTCTTCAGATAACTCATGAACCTATCAATCAGCGGAGAGAGTGTCCTAACTATTTTTACCTCGCTAAGGGGCTTACAAAGGATAATCTCCTTTAACATATACTCCTCCAAAAAAACTCCCTCTTTCACCAAATCCTTTTATTTTCTGTCTTTATCTTCCAACAGCAAAAGTTATCAATGTTGATCTGAATTTACCACGATGTTCTCAAAAGAGGTGTGGAGAGTTTTCATCAGATGATATACCCAACTCTCTCTCTACCTTTTGATATGATAGGTCTCTGAATTCTCCTCAGCTGTTCGATGCGTTTTCTTCTATGTTAGTTTTAAGAGTTTTTTTCGTTCTTTATCTATTATAATCCAATTTTATTTATTCTCATCACCTATTTGAAATTAAATCAAACGAAATTAAATTAAAAATGAAATAGGATTTGGCAATTTCTCCACTACAAAAGGGCTCCCGTCAATTCCAGATAAAATTGGAATTCTTGTTTTTGTTTCAGTCGCTTTCTTAGCGTAAAAGGAAACCAAAGAAACCTCGCAAAAATTTTTCGGCTGTTGGATTGAGAAAAAAAACTACAAGAAATCTACCATCTTATGATTTACTGATGTTCCTGGAATTGCGGAGACCTTAAGACGCCGGCTCTCAAGCACGATGACGTCACTTATCAAA